TTAGTGTATAATTGTAACAGAAGGAAAAAGATCTGTCATTGGGCAAATCGCATTAGGAATAAATGACAGACAATATTATGTGAATGAGTCACTCACGTGTGGGTAAGACAACCTGTGTAATTGCCTTGTATATAATCTTATAAGAACCAAAGAAAGGAGCTAACAGAAAAGCCATGAAAAGATGAGAAGGAAAAGTATTAGTCAAGATTGGTCAACCACCTGCCTTACTTCCACGACAACCATGTTTAGGGGGGTTAGTTTTTTGGATTTGATTACCATAGAAACAAACCTTTAGAATGCCCTCAAATGAATTTACAGAATTACTGCCCATATTGAGTATAAACAACACCGGGAGATTATAAATATTAAAATCTATTTTCAAATTATTTTCAGAATTTAAATGATCCATCAAGCCTTTTGGACATTGCTCAACAACCATCAATTGTATTTTGGCAAAAGGTGTAAAATCCTATCCATTATAATTAGGTGATGGGTTTCTAAATTAAATTATTTAAATGTGCCATTTCAATGATTTCCATTTCATTTTAAGTAAAATTAAATGTAAATGGTTTTGAGGAATTATTAACAAAGAAGTGTTAGAAAAAAATTCAAGGAGTAGATTTGATTTACTATTCAGTCTTACTGTAAGAATCAATTAAATTTGGTAGGCTGTTTGATTTTCTTTAAAGATTATAATACAAAGTTAGTCAATATTCTGAACTTAGTTTTTGAAACAAATTATTATGTATGCACCACACTCACTGCTGTACCTTTAGGAGCCATTCGTGGGTTTAGTCAGCTGTACAGCCAATATAAATGGGTATCGCTGAATCTTCATCTTGTGACCATCAAAAACAGACTAGAGGATTCTATGATGAGAACTGGGAGTCTCCTCCAAATACTCTCTTGCACATATGTTCTCCTAGCTAACATGTGTGGAAAAGGCCCACCTTAGGCTATGCAGTTTTAAAATAGGGCATGTTTTGCCCTGATTGGTGTGGCTCAGTGGATTGAATGCCACCCTGTGAACCAAAGGGTCACTGGTTCAATTTACAGTCAGGGGACATGCCTGGGTTGTGGGCAGGTCCCCAGTAGGGGGCGCACAAGAGGCAACAACACATTAATGATTCTCTCCCTCTCTTTCTCCTTCCCTTCCCCTCCTTCTAAAAATAAATAAAATCTTAATAAAAATAGGGCTTGTTTTTAATATTTTATGCACCTGAGGCATGTTTTAATATATGAAATCTTATGCAGCTTTGTAAAAGTTGAGCCTCTAATATCTGCAATTTTAACACCACTCCTCACTTGAGATAATGTATGACTTTAAACAGAAGTTACCATTAGTTCTTTTTCCAGTTCTTGAACGAAGGAAACAAAGTCCATCTAAATTGCTCTAGGGATTTTTCATTCAATTAAATAGACTCCCTGCATTCTATGAGTGATTAAACAATGATTCCACCTATTGACAGAAGGTGCAAAATTTTAGTATATTTCACAGAAATTCCCAAGTGGTATGTAACTCAGCTCTTACTAGAGACCAGGGGATAGCATTCACTGTACTTCGGATTTTTAGAATAAAATCTCAGTAAACATCTCATGCCATTTGTTTTTAGATCATAAAATAGAACTGATGTTAGCCTAGCTCACAGGCACTTAGATTGCCTTTGAAAATCGCGGGCTGACGTATCCTAACATTGTCCACTGCGTACCAGAGGCTTCATTGGCAGCTCAGCACAAAGGACCTGCAAACAAAAGAATCCATAGACGGTGTGTGTCCCAGGCCTCCAGGACTCTCCCAGAGGTTTGCACCCTGCTCCTGTGATCTCTGTACCACATCAACATAAGCCACTTAATCCCTCTGCGAAACTGCAAGCTAAAGGGGTAAAACAATTACTGTTGGCTTTACACAAAGAACTAATACGAAATTTTACCTGAATTATAACTGAAACAACTTTGCACTAAAGTTAACGACAAATTTTCAGAGGGGAAATCATGTGCTAGAGAGAGCACTTCAATAACTATCTTTAGTAGAAAACATTATATACACAGTATATAGTTTATGCGCAGTATATAGTACACTACATAGGTATATATACATACAAATGTACTCATGCATTCACGTATATACAGCCATACATTTTTGAGATAATAGTTTTTTTCTAAAATCTCTTGACTGTATGTTAGTCTAAAGGGAGTGGGTTATAAGGAGTTCTGAATAAATAACAGGATAATTTTGAGAAAGCCTGAGGCCCTTTTCTTTCTCTTAGTAGGGTTAATACAATGATACTTCACTTTTTAACAAAAAGGTGAGAAATGTATTTTCTCCATTACATTGCACCAAGTCCTTTTTTCTCCTCTTGCAATTTCCAGTTTTACAAGTTTTCTGAATTAAAAATTTTCTTAAATCATTGAACGCTTCTTTTCCCTTTTCATGGCTATAAGAATGAACATTGGCTTTTTAACTTTAATATGTTATATGGCAACATACCCTCAATTCAGTGAGGAGAGCAAGCATGCTGATATCTAAATAGCCTTACAGAGGTAAGCAATATCCTGTAACATGAATACGATGAGGACTACAAATTCATTTCCACAAGGAAAGTTTCAAATAGCTAATCGCCTATCTGAAACAGAAATCATTTTCTTGCAATTTTTATAGCATTTCACTAAATTACATAAGGTATTTTATAGCACTAATTTACTCAGTAGGCATTAATCATCATAATACCCACTCGTGACACATGATAAAATCCCAAACCAAACCAAGAGTGACAACTACCATGAAAAATACAAACAACAAGCCCACACACTCTTTCTCCAGTACCCAAAATTCACTATTAACTGTCGCCCTCAATGCTAAGGTTTAATGCTTATTTACTTCAAAACATTTTAGACCAAATCACAGCTTTCCTTACAAATATATCTGAACAGAGCAGATAATCAGACACATTCAAAATGTCATTATACCTGTCCCCAAACTACCTGTCCATCTTCCTTCTTTGGTTTCGAAAGAAAACCTAGAAAACCAGTTAAGAAAATCAATAAAGCGCTGAAGAAACTGGTGAAGAATTTTTCACAAAATCAATTATTTCAAATAAACTTTATTTTGAAAAGAATACCATAACATAGTACTATAAATTTAAATGACACGTCCAGCAGTATTAATGAGTCAAAGTACGTACAAGTGGAGTCACAGTTTGTGTCTGATTATTCCCACAAATGAAAAGATGCAAAGAGAAAACTCAACCAAAAAGGCAGCGAACTCCAAGGGACCCATGGCCTACTCACATGGTTTCATTTCATGCTTGTGTCTAAACGTTTCAATGGGAATTGATACAGACTGACAGGAGATAAAGAAATGTGCTGCCTGAATGATCAAAATTCTTTTTACTTTTCTTGCTCTGCCAGAGATAGCACTGTCAGTAATGTTTCTACAAAGTAGCACCATATGACAAGCTACTTCCTTCCTTCCCCCTCCTCACACCGCATGAGGCTTTCTGTACCGGGACTTGGAATTCCTCTGGTTTGAGGAAATGGCAGTTTGATCTTAAGACTTTTCTAGATATAGCTGATCTCATCAGAGAAAGGTTAGTGAGGAAAACAATATATAATCAGTGAAAGTATTCTATTTATGATGCAATAGTTGTTCATAATTCTTTAAAGAAAAAAAAAATATCTAGAGCTAAAGAGGAATGAAAAGACTAAGATACACACTAGGAACTTCATACCACACAAGGGTTTTAAGGCAATTTATTGTTGACCCCAAGATTATTCAAAAAAGCCAGAGTCATTTCTGGATCAAGGGGAGAAATCTAAGGCACCAGAAATAGCCAAGTAAAGTATCTTCGAAGGATAAGGACCCAAAGACAGAAAGCAAGTTGAAGAGAAAATTAGACCCAGTGAATGCAATTTTTACTTTTCAATAGTAGAGGGAAGTAGAAAGATAAGGAACTTGGAGACTGAAATATGGTTCAGTAAGTTAGCTGTTGACTTTAGTCAACAATAATCAATCTCTTTGAATGACAATTTCCTCATCTATAAAATAGGTACATTAAGATCCATCAGCTTTTTTCATGGGCTTCAGATCAATGAGATTTAAAGTCAAAGACATATTTGCAATCACTTTGTAAAGGATAAAAGACTGTTCTTAGTAAATGGGAATTTGGACACTTTTTTAAAGTTATTAACGATAAAAGCCAATTGAATGAAACATAATAAAATCATCAAATTTTTCAAACAAGCAAACAAAATATAACCAGAGACATTGAAATAAAGAACAAACCAACAGTAACCAGAGGGGAGGGGGGAGGGGGATAACGGAGAAAAGAAGGGGAAGGGTCATGAAGGAACATGTATAAAGGACACACGGACAAAGCCACACAGGGGCAGGGTCAAGGTTGGGAGGCAGGGATGGGTGGGGCAGGGGGCAGTGGTGGGGGAGAATGGAGCCAACTCTACTCAAACAACAATACAAAATAAATAAATAAATACCTTTTTTTTTAATCATCAAATTTTTGACCCAGGATAGACCTTTTTCAATAGTAGCTGCTGTGGGTCTGCCTTTTTTCTGATGGGGGCAGTAATGGGAAAATGCTGATTAGTTAACTGATCATGGCACAAGGTCATTCTACTATAACACACCAGTTACAGACTATTACCTAAAAACCAGGAAGTGTAATCCATTAGCCTTAAAAAGTAAGCACTGACTAAATCCAACTTTCTACCTTATCTACAATATTTTGACACATTTAAAAAAAACATAAATAATTCATTCTATTTACCATGATAAATCAGTAGCAATCAGGAACCAAACCTTATACAGGGTGGGGCAAAAGTGGGTTTACAGTTGTGAGTACATGAAACACAGATTGTTCATGTATTAGTATTAATTATTGTATTATTTTCCATATGAACAACCTACTTCTGCCACACCTTGTATAGCTTAAGTCCTAGGCAGAAAGTTCAATGTATACATATTGATAAGTTGTTAACTTTGTTAATCATTTTAGCATTGCACATCTCCTCAGTAAAGCAGTAACTTAACAGTTACAAGTAGAGTTCAACAACCATTTTCCTGTTTGTTCATGCATTAGCTCAAAGGCAGGCACAGACACACTGTTTCATTATCACACGAAAATAGCAAGCTTTGCTATTTGGGCTATTGTAAAAGGCTTTACAAATGTCAGTATCTACCTTAGAGAAAACAGAGGGAAGCAGAAACGGAGGGTGCTGATTTATGCTATCCTTGCCCTTATGTTGGGCATGGTCCCAGTTGCAATATTTTAAAATTACAAGTGAGCCCTAACACTTCATATGTGAAAGTAGAAAATGGTCCAGAATTGTTCTTAGTCAAAGACAAATACATTTTTCTTCCCTATAACTCACCAGAAAGAAATGGGTACTTAGAAACCCAAGGGGTTCTTTAAATAACATTCAGAAAAATACATAAAAATAAAAAAAAACAAAGAACAGAACAAATAATGACAAAAAATAAGGCTTTCTTTAAAGATGGATGCCCTCTCTTTAAGAATGGATACTATATAAAATAAGCAGATATATCCCTATAATTCATCATGTTTATATGTAAATTCTCTGGCAGATATAAATCCATCTTTGTCTTCATCTTCTTTATCAAAAATATCCTCCACCAAAGCGTCATGATGACTTTCATTCACCACTGCACCATGCTTTTCAAATTCCTTCTTTAAGTACACTTTCACCTACAAAATAACAGGTCTCGTTAATAATTCTAATTCATGAGACACCCATATCGATCGAGTCAATCAATATCACAGACTGGTCTGGTAGCTCATTTAATGATATATAACAACTACTAAACAATTACTTTATGGTACATTTCAAATGACAGTAAAAGAATTATAAAGACTTTTTTCCCTTAAAATCTCTTGCTATGTTGCTACAGTAGAGACATAGAACGTCACTCCATGGCAAAGATTAGGCTTCTGTCATCTCAAAAACACCCAATGAAAGCATACTACCTGTTCTTAACCTGAGTCTAAAGAAAGCCAAGCATTTCTGAAAGACTTATCTTTCAATCCATTCAACCATCTACATCATGTTTTCTAACAAGGGTCAGAATTCCAGACATTTCTCCTAGAATCCGATTAAATAGTGGCATTTTTTAATTTAAATAAGTGTCCAGGAGTAGTACATGCTGGGGATCTGGCTATGATCACATCACATGACCTTCCAATCTCAGAAATTTCAGCAAAATCCAGCCTGATGAGCAGCGCTTAGACTCATGTTTCCATTTTCATTCCGGTATTTAAAGATGGAACAAAATACTGCTCCCAGGTAAACCCTAGGCTCACTATAACGGAATACAATCTGCACTTTAATTTTTAATTATATTCCTATTATTCCTTCTTTTAGATCAGCAACTTCAAATCCCCTCACCTCTCCCTACCACCAACATTCAAACATATAATATATATTTATTTTTAAGATTAAGGTGATTTAATGTAATTGCAAAAAAAAAAAAAAAAAAAAAAATGTGACGAAGGTCTGCCCTGGCCAGGTAGCTCAGCTGGTTAGGTTAGAGTATCGTTTCTATATGCCACGGTGTGGGTTCAATTCCCAGTCAGGGAACATACAAGAAGCAATAAATGAATGCGTAAGGAAGTGGAACAACAAACCGATATTTCTCCTTCTTTCTATCCCTCTTCCTCTCTCTCTAAAACAATGACTAAAAAATTTAAATTCAAAAACTAAAATTAAAAAAAAAGATGATGAAGCTCTATAAATTAATGTAGAATATTATTTCTGGGATGTATTGTGTGACTAAAGCAAGATGCCAAGTATTATGTATAATATACTATTTTTTTGTGTAAGAAAGGAGAAAATCGAGAATGTATTCATGTTTGGTAGAATTTGCATAAGGAAATCCTAAAAGGATAGGTTAGAAACTAATAAAACTGGATACAAAAAGGGGTATATTACACAGCAAAAGATATGGGTGGGGGAAAGGCTTCTTGATAAACATCTTTTTTAAATTGGATTGATCTTTTTGAACCACATGAATATTTTGTATAGTCAATATTTTTTAATTAAAGGAAATTAAAAATTTATCTTGGATCAAAAATGTCCTATGACTGGTAACAGTATGAGGTGTTGTAAATTTAGTAGCTATGGATCATAGTGGTTCATAACAACTTAGCCTATACAAGACTTAATCATTGGCTGGCCATTAAAATCAAATTGATCCAAGCATAAAAAGAGACTTGATTTCTGACCACCCAAGTCTTGAGGGAGAGCATGAGTAGATTTAAAAAAAAAAAAAAAAGGGGGGGGATAAATATCTACCTTCACTTCTTTTTCCATAGCAGCACGACTAAGATAGTGTAGCAACGGCTGAGAAAGCCTACGTGAATTACAGGAAGAAGGTTTCTCCCTTTTCCTTACTCAAACGCCAGGAGCTTGAGGGGTCTGGAAAGGTCCCCTGCTGTGGAAAACCAGGGGCTCACAGGGACAAAACCGAGCATGTGAGTTGCCTGCGGCTAATTGCTAGGAAATCACTACAAAAGGCATTTCACAGTCAGTCTATAGGTTTAACTGTCCACAGGAGATATTTCTCAGGATATCTTATGTTTCTGATACAGTAACTCCAAAATGGTAATTGTCTCAAAAACTCAGGGCAGCCCTGACCAGTGTGGCTCAGTTGTTTGGGCATCGTCTTACAAAGCAACGGTCACCAGTTCAATTCCCAGTCGGGGCACATGCCTGGATTTCGAGTTCAGTCTTCAGATGAGGCCCAAATGAGAGGCAACTGATAGGTGTTTCTCTCTCACATCAATGTTTCTCTCCCTCTCTTTCTCCCTCCCTTTCCCTCTCTCTAAAAATAAATAAACAAAATAAAATAAAATAAACTCAGGGCAGGGCAGGATACAATCAACCTTAGACATTAGGGAGAAAAAGAAAAGTGAAATAAACGGTATTTTTTGAAGGGTCAATATAGTTCTCTCCGAAACAATGATTTCCTATGAAAAAGTCCATTTTCATAGCATAGGCATTTTAAGATGTATAAATAACATTGCATTCAAGTTAAAAATAAATTTTCTTTAAAAACATATCTCTTAAAAAGTGAGCTGAAAGAAGGAAGAAAGAGAGAGGAGGAGGAAGGAGCGGTCACCTCATCTTTGGAGAGTTTCCAGTCATCATTAAGGTCCATTTCTTGGAACGATTCATGGGATCTCGGTCCATTTCGAATCTCCAGGAGATCAATGTTAAATATCAGTGTACTCTCGGGTGGTATTTTACCTAACAGGAGGAGAGAGAGGGGCCCAGTTATATTAAAAAGATCCTAAAGTGTTAAGGATAGAAAACTTATGGTACTGGACAAAATATTCTTTCAATTGAATTAAATGAGGAGCCCACCTAAGACTATCACATGTGATGGAAATTACTTATAATCATAAGTAATTATATTTTACTCAAACAAATAGTAATCATATTTTACTAAAAAAAAAAAGAATAAAGAATGAATACTCCAAACTAATAATCAAAAGCAGTCTGTTTTTAGCGTTGCAATTAAAAATTGTTTTACACACACATGCCTAATGGCCTGGGTGTTAAAATTTCAAATATAATTAAGTCAAGAATGACTAAATAGAATGGAGTCAAGAATGACTCAAAGTGCTTAGCTATTTCAGAGTTACTTAGAGTGAGTTACTAGCTTGGGTCAGAAAGCCTTGACCTAGAAATATATAAAACACCGCCACTTCTACCGCTGGAGGCGGTTTACGACTGAGTGAGCTCTGATGTTGCAGTATCTGGGACCACAGCTTACTCCCACCCATCTCTGGGCCTCAGTTTCCCAACCTGTAACATACAAATGACAGTCACGCCCACCTCAAGAGTCTGTTGGGAAGATGAAGGAAGGTAAGTCCATGCAAGATACTTAGCATTATGTTTGGTAAGTAGTAAGCTCTCAATACATGTTACTGAGATACAATTCTCTTGTAGGCTTTAAAAACAATTCAGAAAGGATTAATAATTCCAGAAAGTTGAAAAGCACCCTCTCTGACATAGGACATTATACATATGTGAAAGAAATTTCAGGAGAGGGGAGAAATTAAAATGCATTCCTGAGAAGGGAGATATAAATCTTTAAAAGTAAACAGAGCATTTTTTAAAGTCCCAGCGACCTTAAAAAAAATTTTTTTTCTGGCAAGTATAGACAATTTTTTTTACCCGTCTCCTTATAACTATATTTAACGTACAGCTCTAGGTAAACATTACAGGTATTTCCAATCTCCCCATCCCACATAGTTCCATGAAAGGGCACTTGTAATGCTAAAGAGAACAAAACTTACGCCTTGCGCTGTGGCTCTACCACTCCAGATCTAGACAGAGAGGGAGCATGCACTAGGTCGTCGAGAACACTGGTATCTTTCCAAAGGTGGCATGCAAACGAGGTACTACAGGACTACAAAATCAGTGTTAAATATTAGCAGAATTAGTTTCATGACACTCAGTTTGAAGGAAATGACTTAAATTTAGACCCCTACTTGTAATAAAGTAAAATTCAGCTCAATGCAGTATGGAAGAAGAGTAATGGACTAAGAGTACATGAGTAAAATATTAAAGGTGAGACAATAAAGATACAGGAAGGTGAAAGAATACATTTGAACATCAGAGAGACATTTTCTATATGATTTTCTTAAGAGGATTATCATTAAAATAAGGAATGAATTTGGTTAGTAAATCCTACTCTACACCTAAGATTTATATAGCAATTCAAGTTCTAGAATACACAATGCTTCACGTACGACACCTATTTTATTCCTAGGAAACTGGGTCTAGGTCTCCTGCTTTGAAAATGGTTTAGATCTAAGGATGCTGTGAAGTCCATAGTCCCATTACATCCGAGTGGTCCTTCGTCCGGTTCTAATGACTACTTAAAACTTTTTTCTCTTCATCACGTAAGTAGTATGTGCCTGTTGCAGGGATTCTGGAAGTGATAGAACCAGAAATAAAAATAATTCCCAGCCCCATTGTTAACATTCTTATTTATTTCTTTGTGATTCACTTTGTATGTGTATTACTTTTTTCTAATAATTACTATCATAACATAAGATATACTGTATCTTTATTTTCTACTTTTATATATAATATCATAGCATATATATTTTGGATATAATTACCAGTATTTAAATCTTTGAAATGCCATTTTAAAGTAACTGAGCCGTATTTCATTTAGCTAAACTTTCTCATTATGCACTTACGTTGGTTCCAACTTTTTTTTTTTTTTGCCATTAGAAACAACACAGTAATGGACATCTCTATTCACAAATTTACTTCTGATACCCGATTATTCCTTTAGGTGAGATAACAATAAAGGAATCATAGGATACATGCATAGCCTAGGCTTGAAACATCTTCCTGCCTCCTGTAAATAGCCCTTCGGAAAGCCCTGGAGGTTTCCTCTCAAACGACAGGCAGGTAGACAGGCAGGTACGTGTGCCTGCCCTGAAGCAAACCAGCACAAAGCCTCCCTGGACCAGCCGGCCCACTTGCTTCCATTCTCCTAAACTCATTTCCTGTCACTCCATTATTATTTTATGTTAAAGTACCAAAAACTTGATAAACTTTGTTGTGGAAAACTTCAGTTGAGAGTCACACACAGCCCACACCAATAACTGCATGTAAGGTCTTGATAATCTATATTTCAACTGTTCAGCTCATCCAAAACACTTATGTTGAGTAATCTATCTTTCTGCATATGAAAATAGGTTGGAGAGTTTCAGGTGGGGAGGATGACAAAGTTCTGGAGATGGAAAACGGTGACATTCACACAACAATGTGAACGTACTTAATGCCACTGAATGGCACCCTTAAAAATGGGGTTAAATGGTAAATATTATGTTATGCATACTGTACCACATACACACACACAAAAAAGGCCATCATAGTGGTTTCCAGAATGCTTTTCATTGTTAGTTTAGTTCACCATTTAGACACTATGGCTTCAGTTGGCTATTTCAAATGACAATCAAGACATATTTCCCAAAGAAATGCAAATCCTGATTTTACTTCTAGGGGGAAAAATACATAATAGTTCCGCTAACATCTGTCTCCTCATTTAGAAGAGAACTCTAGTGCTATAGAAAAATGTAGAAGCGTTATTACCTTTCCCTTCTTTTCCGTAGCCCAGGGCAGGAGGGATGATGAGCTTCCTCTTCTCTCCTACACACATTCCCTTCAGGCCCTGGTCCCAACCTTTGAGAGCCTCCAGGATGCCCAGGGTAAACCAAATGGGCTGACCATTGTTATGTTTGTGACTACAGTAGAAAGAAAACATATTAGAACATTCCAGTAACTTTTTTTTTATTGCTATGGTACTTTTTTTCCCCATAGTGGTTGAATTTGGAAATTAACAAAAACAGCTACGCGCACACACACACCCCCAAATCAACAACTCCATAGCGTAATTCAATTCACTGTCCATATTTCTTGCTGCAAATTTCACACTGTTGACTCAGCTAGAGAAGTGCAAAGGGCATAAAAATAGAAACAATCAAAAATTATTTGAGCATTTACCAGGTATTACCCCAAATGTGTTATTTCTTTTAACTCTAACAGTGACTAATGAGGCAAGTGCCATTATTCTCTATTGTACAGATGAGGAAACTGAGGTTAAGTGTGCCAGTATATGACCTAACTACAAAGTTCAAGGTCTTAACCCTAAGGTGTTGTTGTCCCAGGAAGGCTACTAGGTGCAGAAGGGGGAGAAAAATAGCAACAAGTGGGTGTGTTTCGGAAGAAGGATGAGAGGCGAAGGAGAATTTATGGCCCGCACATGGGTCCAGACCCGCATGGACACTGAGAGTCAGGAGCACGGCGTCTTCCGGCCTGGCTACAAACCTTCCTTATATATACAGCCTGCTGATGGCTTTGCTGGCTGGGAAAGGCTGCTCTTCCGCCCTTTACCCCCACTCAGACCCCCGTTCTCTCTGCAGGGGCCTACTTGGGGTTACGCAGGAAAGCCTGGGGGGTGGCCACTCAAGGACTGAAGAAGAGAAAGGTCAGGGTGTCCTGGCTGAACAGTTGAAGGAAAGCCAACCTGTGGAGCTGCTGGGGGACTTCAGGGCCGAGCAGTGTCTGAGGCTCAGTTATCTCCCTTTTGGTGCAATAGGGAAAGTGTTCTATACAAGAGTTCCTTGTAGGTGAGAAGGGGAAGTCAGCCTGCTAGGCTTCTTGGGTACCATGGTCACTAAGTCTAGGTAAAGGCCATTACTTCCCCTTTTCCTTAATTTCTCCCCACGATCAAGGTAACAAAATGCCAACTGCAGAAAATCTGGGAAGGGCAGAAAAAAAATAAAAAGAAACAATCTACCACCCAGGACTGACTACAGCTTTGGCACATTTCTTGTCCCGCCTAAAGGATTTGAACCTTTATTTATTTACCTCATAGGCTATGGTTCTAGAAATGGCAAACATTCTTTGTAAAATGATCAATGTATGGTACTTCTTCATCATCCTCAGGGTAGGTGGTTCCCGACCATTTACATGGAGGCTGCATGATAACAGTCCCCTCATCTATTTCTAGATTTTAGTAGCAAATGGCTAAATAATGTGCCATAACCACCACCATAGTCCACATAGGTTTTTGGTTCTGGGTCCTGAAAGAAATCAACCTGAATCTAAAAGAGATCAGATTAAAAATAAGAATATAACTGGAAATTTAAAACACAAATCATTATTACTGTTTGACATCCACTGTGGCAATGGCCTTGTGAATAAGAAGACAGGACTGCTGAGAATTCTATGGCAAGATGTCATTTTGGAACTTTTTGCAAGAGCTAACAGAGCTCAGGAAAGACAGCCAATCACTTCTCTGAAACCTCACAAAAGACCAGATCTGAATGCCCAGGTTTAATAGATGGGTAGATAAATGAATGGACCATGATGGAGAAAAGCCAAAATTTCTGAATCTCCCCAGTATCAAGTACAGGACCTCACATAAAGGAAAAGTTCAAAAAATACTTTTGGAATGCAATAAGTAGAACCAAAGCCTAACTGGAAATCATTACATTTGTAAAAGTTCTGTATGTTGCAATTCGTTTATAGAATAGAAATAATGATAGTGTGACCACATGCAAATCCTTCACTGTAGATAAAGGATTAATTATCCATCACCACACTCATCAATTAAGCCTTTGAATTTCTAACGAGACAAATGATGAAATAAATCATAGTCCTGTGCCTTGATCTAATGTCATTTGTCAGAACAAAAGTTAAATAGGTCAATGAACTAACATTAGCATATCCTACAACAGGCAAATAAATGATTGTGTATTCTCATGAAGTTTCTGTGAAAAGTTTTAAGTCAATTTCACTGACACCAAATTAAAAATGGAATCGAGTCATTGTCTCTCAGGAATGGAGTTTGAGAAATGAGAATTCCTTTAAGCTTTTAAAAAATTTATTGTCTTATTATACCTCCCCAATATTTCCGCAGTATTTCGAAGATTCTAGGTCTAATTTTTACCATTAACAAAATTAACAGCCTTATCTTGACTTCACGTTTCCAATAAAATCTTCAAAGATCACCTTATATAAGATTTGTTTCAAACAATGTCCTTTCCCCAAAGAAGAAAATAAGATAGTTCAGTTTTTTTTTTTAAAGTGGTAAAACTTGGTACATGTTGCTGTTCCTGCCCGTAAACTGGCATGCGGGGGTGGGTTCTTCATTGTTTTACCTGCGGGGTATAATCACTTACGTGGAGTGGAATAAAGAGCCATCCTTTTCTAAATAGCCTTCATAGTGGACCAACATCAAATCTCCTCCTTTGGTCTTGCGATGGCAGATGAACGGCTTCTGGAGCACTTCAATCTTCACTTCTGGCTCAGGGATCAGAGCCCCACTCAAAGAAGTGACTAACAGCGTCACGACCGAGTTCCACAAGAAAAGCCTCATGTTGCTGGAGAAGGAAAGAAGTTCCTACAAAAACAGGGAAAGGACCTCGGACCTCAAAGGGTTAAGAATGCAGTTGATGACTTAAGGACAACGGCCTTTGGCAAGTTCATGACTCTCCCCTCCTAGCAGACGTGCCACGTTTACTATCTGCAACTTTCCCACGAACTGCAAACTCACCACTAAAGAGTTAAACCCAAATCCCGGCCGGAGTAGCTTTTGCACCGCAGTCGCCTGGGAATTATGGTCTTCTATTGGCTTGCGGTGCTGTCCCTCAGGCTCTCCTCAAGCCAATGACGCTGCAGGAATGTAATGTACAACCCGCCCGCCCGAAACTCGCCCGGCGACGAAGTACCCGGCACGGTCCTAGAGTCCTGCGGATTAAAGAATTCCACAGCTTGGAATTTTGGGATGGGTGGGGCGCGGAGCCGACCGGAAACTCCCCTGGCAGATTTACACGTGTGAAGTCCGGGACTGAGCGTGGTGAGAGGAGTCCTGGGGACTTGTGAAAACAGTAGAGATTTCCGGAAGTATTTATTCTCGCCGTAGGTGAGAAGCCCCAGGATTCCGCAATCTAACACTCCTGCTATTACTTATTATTTAATTTACAGTATAAACGATACAAGCAGTGCTGTAGGGTTGACAAAGCGCGTTCCCGTGCGTGACTCTTACTCCACTGCCAGTCAGGCAGGCTCTTGTTTAAAAAAATTTTTTAAAGTATATTTAAATATACTTTTAAAGTATGTTAAAAGTATATTTAAAAGTATATATAATTATATAGGAAAGATTAAGTGTCCTGCTTAAGGTTATTCAGCCCCAAAGGAGTTGAGCCCCGCCTTCAAATCAGGTCTTCTGATGCTTTCTACAACACCGCAAAAAGTCCTGGCCACTAATAATTTATTACTTAGGATTTAGGTGTTCTTAATCCAGAACGTCTATAATAGCTTCCATCGAGGATAAGCACGTGCACACCTCCGCTTTAAAGAAGGAATAGTAATCACGGTTATGAATTACACAGGCTCATCTTAGTTTTACATTTTTCCGCCTAATTTCAAAAGCAATGCATGTTCGTTGTAGCCGATTAGGAAGAAAGTAAAACACTGGAGTAGGGTTTCCACTTAGAATACAGGAGCTGAATTAAATTTAAATTTCAGAGAAACAAGGAATTGTTCTATATTTGTATTTGCTAAATACGGCAACCTTACACTAAAGGAAAAAGATCGCCCCTAATGCCACCTCCGGCAAATAATCTTAACGTTTTGGTGCATGTTTTTGTGACATATGCCTGAAATAATTTAGATTGCATTGTACACTTTGTTTGGTAACCTCCTCTTTCTACCCAATTTATAGTTAACATTTTTCCTGCTCACATATTCTGAGAGAACTTTCTCACACTTTCATATGCAGAGGAATCCCCTGGGGATCTTGTTAAAATTCCAGAGATGTGGGCTAGAGGCAAGATTCTGCATTTCTGACAAACAAGCTCCCAGGTGACGCCAGAGCTGCTGTCCGCGGACCACATTTACTTAGAATTTCGACAACATTCATTTATAATGGCCACACAGCATTCTATTGTGAAATTCCCATCATCTCCCTAAGCCCTATTGTTGGGCACCTCGAGTGTGTGAGATCTATTGGGCAGCCTTGAAATCGCCTGGGAGCTAGATCCCAGGGGCCACCCTAAGGGACCACCCGGCAACCACCAAACATCAGGAGGTGGGGCCCGAACCATCTATTGCACCATGAACAGCCAGGAGCGTGTCCTACACTTGTCCCAGCGGCTTCCCGCCTCGGGTGTCACCCAACGCTTTCTTCCAAGCCAGCCTATCCAGACTCAATTTCCCTGCGGGCCTCTGGGCCCCTTCAACCCCGCCCTCGTGATCGTCGCCAAACCCCGGAGTGGATTTTAGGAACGGGAGCGCGAGCGGTGCACTGGGCATGCGCGAGTGGGCCCCGGGCCCGGAGGGTCGGGGACTAAGGTAGCGTGCGGTGGCGCCGCCAGCGACCCGCTGTCCGGCTTGCGGCACTTCGAAGACGGCAGTCGCCTCTACGGCCCACCCAGCGTCTTAATCTACTGGCGGAGGCGCGTCAGCCCCTGTCGTGTCCTCACGTGCCGAGGCCGCCGCAGTGACCCCGCCCCCGGGCAGACGATGTGAGACCGGCCGGGCGTCCCCGCACCGGGCCCCGGCGCCGGGAGTGGGCGGCTCGGCAGCGCCGGGCGATGGCCCTGCTGCTGCTGCTTGTCGGCTCCGGGGGTCTGGAGCAGTGAGGGGGCTGGCGATCGAGGGACAGCGGCTGCGCGGCGGAGGCGGAGGGGCCGCGGGCGCCATGGAGGGGGTGCTGTACAAGTGGACCAACTATCTGAGCGGTGAGTGGGGGGCGCGCCAGGGGCTCGGTCCTTTGTCTGAGCAGCTGGAGGGCCACGTTGGGACGCGCCTCTTGGGGGTCGGGGTCATGGCCCCTCCTAGGACCGTAGAGACCTGTGCGGACGGGGAATATTTCTCCAAAGCACTTCACTCACAGGACGGGGTCCCCCGTGCTGTGCGGACGCATTCCCGTGCTGGGGCTGGGTGAGGGCAATAAGCTACCCATTCACTTTAAGGAAACCTACGGAATCCTGAGATCGGGGGTGACTTGAAAAGCACGATGCGCGCGGTGGCATCGGGAGAGAGGCGCTGATGTTGCCTGGCAATGCCCGAAGTAACCTGGAATTCCAGAGGGGAAAGGGCCTTTTTCAAACAAAGTCCCAGGGCAGACACTTTCGCTTTGTCACCTTCAGGGCCATCTGCGCGCAGACCTAGCTATCAGAATTCCATCTCGACAGTTTCGGAGCTCCAAGCTTTGCACAAGGTTTTTGGTTTTCTCGCTGAGCATTTCTTTTTGTTTTACAGACTCCAAAATTACCATAAAGTCAATGCAAATGTTATCAGCTGTTTTCTTGCCCTGCTGAGCAGAATGGCTTAAAAATAGTAGCCCACTTCTTTCCAATGTGTGGAAGTACTTCCTTCATATCTTGAGGTCATGACTGTTCTTCAGCTGTGAAAATGATTCAGAACAAGCATTTTTTTTTCCATTTGTGCAAGCAGCATTTAATAAAAGCCTCTGTATGCTGTGGCAGGCACTTTTTTGGAAGTAAGTTTGATTATGGGTAATGAGCTAGGCACTTTTAATTCTAATAGCAATGTCTGTGAAACCAGAAATATCCCCAGTATCTCTTAGCACCAGGCAAGATCTATTTTCCCATCCTTTCTGCTAGCACAGTTTTTCAGGGTTGTAGTGTGGCAAAGCTCTGGGGCGTTTTAGGGGCGGATGTGTCTGGGAGGCTTAGTTGGTACAGTGATTTTGATGAGGTTACACAGCACAGCCAAGGGCACCTGTTGGATATACCCAGAATCTCTTTTCTGTCTGTAGTGCGGTTAGAAGTGAGTTCTGTTTATTTTTCCTGTGCTCAGTAGTCAAGACCGAGTGAGGGGCCGTGTTTTAGGAGGCCCACCCTTTTCTTCAGGGACCTTCATTGACGTCACACCTTCACTGATGTCCATAAGGAGCGGATAATTCCTGGCTGGACTTCAGTGGCTGTCAGAGGCTGCCACTGTGTTACCCCAAAGGGAGGATGCTCGATCAGCTCATTTTCCTCCTGAGGTATCGCGAAGCTCTGAGATGGATGGATCTTACACCTTTGAGTAAAATTTAGTGGCTGGTGGATCACCCCTTTCCACACATGTGCTTTTTAACCTTTTTCTTTCATCCTCAACATTCCTCTTCCTTCTTCTCCATCTCCCCAGCCCCTCCTTTTTTTGGTTTTTGTCTCTCCTTTCGAACTCCTCTCTCTGTATAGAAAGTTTATTCTCTTGGTACAATACCTACTTTCTGACCATGGAATGCCTTTTATTTTTTTTCTTGACTGTTTTTGTGTTATCCTTCAATAGAGTAAAATTTCTCTAGAAGGATCTTTTGGAATCTTTCCCATGTGATGCCTGGGCCATCTGTTCTGAGTCTACTTTTTTCTTCTCCAAGGAAGAGAAGTTAATTCTGTGAGTGACGCCAGGGTGGAAACCTAAAGGAAGAGGGACCCTGGGGTCATTATCCTCGCACCAAGCAGCTTGTGCCCTTGGCCTGGGGCGGCCTCGTTGTGGGGGCACTGTTTATAGAAGCGCATCACTCCACCCGGTACTTTTCCTGCATTATACTGAGAATTATGGTTCAACACATTCTACTACATTAGGAGATGCATTTTCTTTGGAAAGGAACAGTAATAGCCTAGAAGGAACAAATGCATTCTTACTTCTTCTACCCTCCTATGTGAGTTAGTCTCCCCAAAAGAATGAAGCCTGTTTATAAAAGTAGCATTTTTTTCTTATGGTTTTGCACAGAGTAACTTTAAAATTCATGTAATCCCAAGTCCAAGTTTTTGTTCATTCTGAGTTTTTCTCCAAAGGGGGAACATAACCTTTTGTTTAGTTTGTGTATTTGTGTCATGCACCCAGCCTGATACAGAACGTCTTGTCAAATTTGGGTGGAAGAGTTAGAAAGTCAGTTTAGCAGCTAATCCTCTGAACCCTTGGAGAGTGTTGTTAATTTCCTTCACCATCCACTCTGAGCTGGCGCAGGGCAAGTGACACTGGATGAGAGGGACACAGCCCCTGCGTTCCTTGAGCTTCCAGCCAGGGGGTTGGGGGAGAAAGACAACCATTGGATACGTGGTTGGATGCACGTTCCAGGTGTGTGTTATTTGGGGAGAGGGGAAGAGGAGAGGCCAGTCCGCATCATTGGGGAAAGCTTCTCTGGAGAAAAGATTTGGGAGATTTAAGAGAGCCTGAATGATAAATTGAACTTAGTTAGGTGGCGAGGCCAAGGCAGAGGTGCAGTTGGAGGCTGTAGGGAAGAACTTTCTAGATACTGGAATGTCAGTATGCAGGCCCTAAAGCAAGATAGAAGAGGCCGGTGAGTTTAAGAAAATGAAAGAAGACTGGACTCGCATGGCTGGAGAGCTGAGGAAAGTGAGCCTCCAACAAACGTGGGGTTAGGGGGGAGGCCTGGTATTTTAGGGCCTCAGAGGCTGGTTTGGGTGCTGTGAGTGACTCCGTGTGTGGCGGGGGTGGAGGGGAAGATAAGGTCATTTACAAGCTTAAAGCTCACCTTGGGTGCATTCTTTGTATTTTGCCAAGTCATGTAGTTATTTTTGTGAACTTCTTTTGCCTCTTATATTATCCTAATAGGTATCAATTATTAAAAGTTGACAACACCAAGCCTTGAGAATAACATCTATATTTCTTCCATGAATCTGCCACTAAAATACAGAAAGAGAAAGAAAGAAAAGTCTCTTTAATATACTGCACATACTCGGGTACCCTGAGCTCCTTCAGAGGAAAATGAGGGGGCAGGAGGGACCTGCTCATGTGTGTTTTCTTCAACAGCTCGGAGCCATCCTGCCTTTTGAGCAGCTGAACATTGGACAATCTGGGGTTTAGTGTCACATCTTCTCTTCAGATATTAGAAGATTAAACCTGCAAGGAAAAGGGACTGGATTCAATGTTTCACAAACACCTACGTTGTGTGAGACCCAGGGGCTGGGCACTGTGTGTTTGTAATTTGTGTCTTTCAAGCCCTGAGAGTGAGTCCAGGGTTATCATATGTGCATGGTTTCCGTGAATGCTCTGCGGTAGGACGCTAGCTGAGGAGTCAGAGACCTGCAGCCTGACGCCAGCCCTGTCACCGCCCACTGCGGTCACCTTACCCTTGCTGAGCTTGTGTCTCCCCCCATCAAAAGATGAGGGTTACCAGTTTATGTGTATAAGAATAGCAAAAAGCTTAACACTTAGAGTATTTCGGGCACTAGTCTGAACATTTTGCATGGATCAGTTCATTTAATCTTCACCGCAATTTTAGGAAGCGATTGCCCTTCTCATTCCCATTTTCCAGATGAAGACATTGAGACACTGGCCCAAGGTCACACAGTTAGAAAGTGGCTCCAGAGTGAATGCTCCATTACATAATCCTTTTTAAAGGTCCTTCCTATGGATCATTATATAATTCTAGCTGATTCATAATGCACCTATATTTAAAGTATGTTGACCTAGAATAGCAGACTGTTTGGGAGTGGTAGGTGGGGAGGGGTTCAGGAGTGAGGAAGACTTTGCCCACTGTTGTGCATATGCTTTGTCACAAGGAGAATCTCTGAGCCAGCTGTGAGCGCTCTACTTTGCAGTTTTAGGTCCCTTTCCTGCCCACTCAGCAGATGCAAGAGCTGCTGCCATAGTTAAGCTCCAGCCAGCAGCCGGCTTCTCGGGCCCTTCCAGCAGGCCAGGGCATAAGCCCATTGCAGCGCTGCATTCCAAAAATAACAGACGCTTGCGCCATGCTGACCAGATGGTTGTCTAAAGAGGTGCTCTAATTTTGTTTACCGCCCCCCCCAACCCCCAGGTGTGCTGCGGAAACAATGCCAGGAGGATACCTGGGATGTGAGTCACCCAGGGCAAGAAGCACATGGTCTCACAACCACTGGTCAACTTTTTTGATTTGTTTTTTTTTTTAATATCTTTATTGAGATAATGATTCACCTATCATAAATTTCACCCATTTAAAGTATGCTAGTAGGTATGATTTTTAGTATGTTTAAAGAGTACAACCATTGGTCCTGGCTGATGTGGTTCAGTGGATTCAGCACTGGTCCATGAACCAAAAGGTTGCTGGTTCAATTCCCAGTCAGGGCACACGCCTGGGTTGTGATGTAATTCTTGCACATGGATGTGTCTTTCCCTCTCTTTTTCCCTCCCATCCCCTCTGTCTAAAAAGAAATAAATAAAGTATTTTTAAAAATAAAGTACGACCATTGCCATAATCAATTTAAAAACGCTTGCTTTATCCCAAAAAGAACTTAGTTTCCCTTAGCAACCACTAATCTGTCTGTATAAATTTGCTTACTCTAGACATTTCATATAAATGGAATCCTACATTATGTGGTCTTTTATGACTGGCTTCTTTTACCTCATATTTTTTTTTTAGGTTCATCACTGTTGTAGCATATATCAGTACCTCATTCCTTTTTATTAACAAACAGTATATTGTATGGAGATAACATTTAGTTTATCCATTCATCCACTGATGGATATTTGAGTTGCTCCATTTTTCTGGAGAACTTACAAACTGTTTTCCAAAGTGGCTGCACCATTGTACATTTTTATCAGTGATAAAAGAAGATTCCCATGTCTCCACATTCTCACCAACACTTGTAATTGTCTGTCTTTTTTATTATATTCATCCAAGTGAGTTGAAGTGGTTTCGATTTATATTTCCCTCATGATTAATGACATTGATCACCTATCTTTTCATGTGCTTATTAGCCGTTTGTATATCTTCTTTTGGAGA